TTTGTTGTATCATGTTTTTGTAAAGTTTCTTTTTCTTTTTCTTTTTGTTTTCCTTTTTGTTTAGTGTTGTCATTGCTACTAGGTTGATGAAATACAAGTATTAAGTTAATTATTATTAAAGTAACATGCAGGCTATATTTCTACGTTATGTTTTTCAGGATTAGAACTTATATGAAACGTTTTAATCAGCTTCTTTAGTTGAATAGCAGAATATTTGCTTTTAAGTGAATTTCTCTGAGATGTTGATTATGGATGCCCCAAAGGGCCATCTCATAATACTAATTTAAACGCAAATATTTATAGCAATGAATTTATTTAATTGGTTTAAATGTTTTTTAAATAAAAAAAAAATGTAAATTATATTGAATAATGTAAATTGAATTTCATATTTAATTATTTAAAAGAACTTTAATTGAACTTTACAGTACTTTTACATAATAATGTGCATTATTTTGAGACAAATAAAAAACTTCAAGTATAAGACAAAAAAAATGTTCCAGAACTAGATTTAGTACTAAGTAACCCTCCCTTTGAGCTTAACAAAAGTTGTTCTAAAGAACAACTTTTGTTAAGCTCAAAGAGAGGGTTACTTAGTACTAAATCTAGTTCTGAGATAATTTTTTATTTTGGGAATGCAACATTTATATAAAATTTTTTTTTTTGGTTTAATATTTTGTGCAAAATATTACAGCATATTTTGTATAATAAAAACTTTCATTTAAGTAAATATAACACATGTACATTTTCTTAAACAAAAATTTTCTACTATTTAATTATATAACTATTGTACATTTTCACAATAAAACCAAAATAGATGATTATTTAATTGGTATGTTTTAAAAAGAGATAGCAAATAGATATAAAAAAATTCATGATAAAATTTCTTAAATAAATTAACCACATAATATAGTTTGATTCTATTACAACCTATTGTAAAATATAAAGATGCAAATTAATATTAAATAAAGTGAACCAATTCTGTAACTCTCTTTGTAGATCACTTGTACTAAATTTTTGCTAAAAACATTTAACTATTTCCCAAAATTCTACTAAGTAAACCTTACTTGTGCCCTTAAGTAAAGTTGCTGAGTTCACTTTTCTCCTTCTAGATGGCCAAGTTTTAGGCTTCAATAACACTTGACTACCGAGAAAAGTTCCAAAACCCAGTTTTTTGGTTTTGTCCGTTTTCTATATAATTTATTAAGCTAATACATCTTATTACCTATTAGAAAAATATCAAGCACCTTGAACCGGTCATTTTAATATATAATTTGCTATAAACAAACAAAAACTCACCAAGATACAAGCAAAAAGGTAAAAACTAAAACCTGTCTTTGCAGGTTTTTCTATTGGCATTTTAGGAAAATCTGCTGGGTTGCCCCAGAAATTTCACTTTTCTGGTACCCATTAAAATTTCCTAAATACCCAATTAGCTTTTGCAAATACTACACACTTTTCAGATCGTTCCTAAATAATTTAAAAACCCTTAAAATCAAAAATCTTTTCAAAAAAACAATATTACACAAATAGTTTGTACCATCTAAAGTTCATAAACTTTACTCTTTAAGTTAGCTACACAAAATGCCAAGCATTATCAGTGTCGAACCTGACTCCTTTGACTTGGATGATTATCTCACCAAACATAGTATCAGTTTTGGTACTGTTACTCATGACAACAATGTTCGAACCCTTAAAGTCCTACCTACTAATTTCAATCCTACAACATGTGACTTACAAAATAGCTTTCATTTTTTTGCAAAACCTACCAAACCTATTATCACCACCTGTCTCTGCAAAAAATACCATACCTATTTTGCCTTACAACACATTACTATTCCAGCACTCTCACCCTCTGAAAACACTCCAGACTCATCTAACTCAATGGAAATTAACTTTAATATGAAACTATTCAAAACTCTTAAAAGCTTTTCAAGATCCAAATTTCAGCCCAAACATGAGATTACTCACCCATTTCTACCTTCTGTAGCAATATTAGGAAAACCTCTACTGATCCTATCTCTTTTAAACCATTCTCACATCATGCGCATATATGCATTATATGCAAAATTAAGAATATACCCTATATTATTCTTAAAGATAACAAACACTCATTAGACCCACAAGCTCTAACTTTTACGACTAATGAAGGAAGCTTTTCTGCTCATACACACTGCATTCATGTTCTTAAACTTAAATACTCAACTTCTTTAAAAACTATGAATTGGGAACAGTGCAATCTATATTGTAAAATCAAGTGCTAGCAATTAACTGCTGAAAAAAAAGTGTTTATTCTTCAAAAAATTCCTTGCAAAATTGCTTAAAAAAATTAAAGCTACGAATGAACTCAAAGATAATAATGAAACAAATAAAAACCAAAGCAATGACAACACTAAACAAAAAGGAAAACAAAAAGAAAAAGAAAAAGAAACTTTACAAAAACATGATACAACAAA